CCCGATACGGTACGATACGATGGCGATGAAGTTTTTTTCAACCAGCATTAATTCTTTATTTTTTTGTTGTGGTTTCCGACCGATAGGTGAATAGATAGATAGAAATACAAATAATTTATTTATTACAGGTGGCAGACACAGCCAGGACGTTTTGCCTTGAGGGGAGGTGTATAAACATAATAGGTAGACAAAAAAGACGGTGAGAGTGAGAGAGTGTGCAATGATAAAAAAGTTTGTTGAGTTGAATAAGGGAAAAAAAGATCGAAACACGGTTGGTAAAAAGATCATAAAATGCCCCTCCCAGATGTCCCCCCCTCCCCGCCCCTTCCCACCTCCCAAAAGAAATAGATGTATAAAGAAAGGCCCAGATGATGGAAAATGATCGTATGAACTGCACAAATGAAATAAATGACAGGAAAGAATAAGATAAAACAAAAAAAACAAAGAACTCTAAAACCAACGCCCTACAGAACAATTTACAATGGAGTCCCCTGATCAAAGGAAAGCGCGAAAGTATAGGAAGGAAATGTTAAGAGGCGAAACAGATAAAAATATCAAGTGACCGGCGAGCAATAATAATGCAGACAAACACGAAAAAAAAACACAGAAAGTACAGTAGAAAATAAATAAGATGAATAAATAGGAGAATAAAAATGCAAAACCAAAAACGCACAGTTTGATGTCCCTCTTCTAACTTATGACAAGGAAATAGCGATAAAACGATAATAGCCGCCCACGAATGACCTCCACGCGCCGGAAAATAGAATATACGAAAATAGAGTAAAAGAAACGACAAAGGAAATATGTTCGTTTAACGATGGCGCTGGTCTCCGCCTTGATATCGTTCTCGCTCGTATCTCTCCCTTTCCCTTTCTCGCTCGCTCTCTCGTCTTACGACACTGGGCTCTCTCATGTCGACTCCGCCTAGCATTTCAGGGTGCCCGCTTCTGCCCTGAAACCCACCGGTCCGTCCATCATCTTCCATTCCAGACAGATCCCTCATGCCCGATCCCGGTCTCGGTAAATCGCTGGCCCTGAAACCACCAAACCCGCTTTCACTTTGTCCAATTCCTCGCGGAGACGCTAGAGATGATTGCCCCCCTGCGCGTTGTGACCTTAGGGCTAAATCTCGGTAATAATCCCGTTCTTCCTCTACCTTCTTCAATCGTTGTTCCAAATCACTTATCCTCGTTGACATTTCCCGCTCTCTTTCTTTCCTCCGTTGGCGGAACCGAGCAGAGGCACCGGCATTCCGTTTCCGCTTCTCATCTGCACTCCTCGATGCTGCCGTTGTATTCACGGGTATTTGAATGGCCCCCTCAGCTGTATTCAGTGACATCATGTGATATCCGTGCGCTCCATGTCCCGATGGTCCAGGCATTGAATATGGCCCACCATGCGGTGGGCCTCCGTGGTGACCTGAAATGTAACCTGGATGGGTATATGTGGGTGTCGTAGGGATGGGCGATTGCGAAGATTGGACATAAGAGGAATAGGGTGTATTAGGGCTGGCATTTGCCGATGATATGGGTGTGGAGAAACTTGTTGCATATTGTAAAGGGGTGGAAACCGCGGGGAAAGGGAAGCTAGTCTGAGAAGGTGGGCCCCCGACAGGCGGGTGGCCGGGTGGAGGCGGGCCTGGGGCGGTATGTATTTCGGTGCCAAACCCTGAAAGTCTCCGAGGAGCGGCGAGGGGGAAAGGACTGTCTTGTGCACTTATGATGCCAGATAGACTGGGTCTCGGGGTTTGTCGAATTCGAGATGACGGTGGAACCGCTGGCGCTATTCGACGGCCGGGAAACGTACCACCACCACCACTGCTCCGTAAGGCTAGGTCCGCAGGGTTGGATGGCTCGACAGGTGAGGGGGGCAAGGATCTTGGTGCACCATGTCGACTCACAGCTGTGTGCACAGATGATCGTGGGGACCCAAACTGGGCCAAACTGGGCCGTCGAGAACTCTCGACGGATCTCTGAGGTGTGGGATTAAGGATGTTACTGACATCTAGAAGGTTTATCGGCCTTTGGTCTGGACTTGCAATAGAAGACTGTGCTATAGGCACCTCTATAGCTCGAGAAGCAAATGAAGCCGAAGCTGCAAGGGATGGCACTGAGCCATCAGCTGCCTGTGAAGAAAACTGGTATCGATCGAGCGAAGCTCGGAAGTCTTGGTCAGTGTCATCCGAAGAGGCTGGTGACCTTGAGGCAGAGAAGGTCTGCGACATGGAGCCTTTCCCCCGAAGACTCTGAAGCTGCATAAAGACAGGACATTGACGGTCTTCCTCTCCCTCCCGACGCCCAAGGAGAAAGCCCGGCGACCGTAAGAGAAGAGGAGGATGAACTGAGGTAGCCACTAACGCCAACGTTTCGACTTATAGGTGGCCCCGGGGAAACAAGAGGGAGTACAAAATGCAGGGAAGTGGTTGATGGAGGGGAGGGAAGGTTGGAAGGAGGTGGGATGATGATGGGGTAGAAGGGGAATAAAGGTTGAGAGGATGGGTAGAGGAGGGTAGAGGAGGAGGGTTGGTGGGAAGGATGGAGAGGTGGAGGAGATGAGACGGAAGCTTGGACGATCCGGAGGGAATAGGGCAGGAACGTCTGGCAACTGGGTTTTTCTTTCTTTCTATGACCCGGGAGGGATTGGCGATAACAGGGAAATGACGTTCAATGAAATTTGAGCATGCAATTGGCGGCAAGCAGTCCACTGCGAGGCAAACAATGCCGCATTGCTCGAGGGCCAGGTGGTGGTACCAGGGATGACGAGAAACGGGAAGAGCGAGGGAGCAGGGCAAGAAATGAAAGCAAGCCAGCAGGGTGGGTACCGGTGCGGGTGTTTTTTATTTTATTTTTATTATTATTTTTTCTAGGGGGGATGGGTATTATGAGCGTGGGTGAGAGAGAGCGGGTGAGTGAGTGAGTGAGTGCTGGGTGCGGTCAATGGTCAGTGGTTACCGGTACCAGAAAAGTGAATGACTGAATGAATAGCCCCAGTGAATGAATGGCTGACCGACCCTGTTGGTGGCAGTGACAAGGAAAAAAGAAGGGTGAGAAGGGGTTGAGGATGTTTCAATGGATATGGTTGTTTGGATAGTGGTAGCACCGGAATTAAGAGTAGCGTGCCCAATGTTTTAAAATAAAACAAATGTGATTGTTGGAGGCGAAATGGCAACGGCAATAGCAAAAGTCTTTAATGGTGTGGTAGGTTGGAACGGAGGAGGGTGGTGATTTGAGGATAATATTGGTAGTTGGGATAGGCGTGGAGGTGGTGGTGGTGGTTGCAGAGGTTAGGTTGCAGTGGTTGGGGAAATGGTAGCTATAGTGGATACTGACTTTCACCAGTATGCAGTGCTCTACTCGAGTACTCTACCCCTTCTCTGTAGGGAAAGTCCCGGTACGGAGCAAGGCGGATAAAGAGAAAGAAGGGTCCGGTTAAGAGCGAGAGATATGCACAAATTGGCGTAAGAGCGCCGCATTTCTCCTGGGACCCCAAACAAGCTGTGCAGTTGCAAGATGTGAGATGGCTAGCGGAAACGGCTTGCGAACGTGGACTCGGTTCTTGGAATGCTTGCGGGCCGTCTCACCAGAGAGAGGGAAGAGGGTATAGTGGAGGCGGGTGCGTGTGAAGCCTGGGCTCATGTGGTGGGTATGATACCATGATGTGTGTGTGCCTGGGTGTGTGTGTGGGTGCTTGTGTCTGCGTGCATGTATTCTTCTGCCTTACGCCCCCCCCACCCAGCACTCGAGTACCATAACTTGCCCCACTGGCGGTCCCTCTGTCATGGATGGCCCACCAAACCATATCGGTACCGGATCCATTCACTTCTTTGGCTATGCTAGCTGGCTAGCTGGTGCCAAATTGGCTATTAAAGGCGGCTGTGGATGCGGATGATGTGAATTCGGTACTGGGGAATGGACCCTTAGTTACCAATTCAACTTTCATACAATATTACTGTACGCCAGCAGAGCTCTGAGCCAATACTCTCGTGGTATTCTCTCTCTTTTTGGCAATCAGCTCTAGCCTCCAGCACCCAGAATGACACCAGCCCCCTCCCTCCTCCCCGTGCTCTTTCTAGCCTTTTGAAATAAGGTTAGGTCCAACCAGCAACGCCAACAAGAGCACAGCATCCCCGCTGTGTGTTTTCCTCTTCTCTAACACCCTGATATGGGATGGATGAGAAAAGGCAGGAGGAGGAGGGGGCTGGGGCTGCATGTTTGCACAGGCTCTAAAAACCACCCCTCACAACTATGCCACACTAAATCCTGACAAGCAGAATTGGGAAAAGTGGTGGGGAATAATATCCTATAGAAAAGGTAAAGTGAGCCAGCATTCGGGCGTCACTGCACGATCACTATCAGCACGCATTTTTTTAGAGAAGAGCGGCGGCCAGATACAAAACTACAAGGGTCAAGGATAAAGGATTGAGACGGTGCATAACTAAAATTTCAGCAGAAGTGGTACACCCGAGAAAACGGCCCTGAGAGGATCTCCACAGTATTCCCTCGTTTGTCAGTGAGCTCGAAGAAATACTTGATGAATCAGGCTCATGGCCTCCAATTGAATGCCTCGATCAAAAGAAAGCTCCCTTGTGGAGCAATGGAAGCCTTGCGGATTCAGACGAGCTAGTTGCGGCTTACCACTAATTTTGACCAAAATCAACATCAACACCCCTGCTCCATACCAATCGTTTATCCTTGGCCCTTGTAAAGGCTGCATGAGCCCAGCGGGCGCAATGAGCAAGAGATTGGTTAGCGGGATGTATATCTTGGGCTTAGCAGACCAAGCAAGCAATAAGTTAAGTGGTGGACAGCGTTCCAAATAGCGAGCAGGCTGCTCGGGTGTCACAGGCTTTTCTGCGCTTTCCCACCCCCCCTCGTTTTCACCGCCCGTTCCCGACACCGGCCCTGGCACTCTTCCCCATATTAGTGAGAAATTGTGAAAACCAGGACAAGAGATGTGAGACCAAAGGCATCATCTTCATCAGAATAATTGGATGAGAGGGTTCCATTCTTTGCCTCTCTCCCTCTTTCCCTTTCCCAACCACTCCCTCAGAAATGGTTAACTGCCGACCTACTATCTACGATGGTCAAAATCGTTGTCCGTGCTTTTCCTTTTTTTCCTGGAATGCTTTCCCACTCATTCCAGCCATGCCCGCTGTTGAGTGGTCAGGTTGCCCAGGCTCGGGTAGGAAAAGTAAAAAAATAAAAACAAGACGAATACAGTACCGTACCGATTCTCGGGAAACAGATATCGGTGCCAGTACAGTATGAGGAAGCTGTTTTCTTGCGTGCTCCGCACACACACATTCACTCGTGCACCCACACACACACATCCACTGTCTTTCTTTCTTTTCTCTCTCTCTCTCTCTCTTCCTCTCTCTCTTCCAATTGTCCTTTTTTGTGTGGGCCATGGTGGTGCACAAGGGCGTTTGATTAAGTTGAGAAATGGGAAAGCTGAATTGCGTGACCGTGCTGGAAGATCAGAATAGTCCCGACGATTTGAGTCCGGTAAGCAACAGACGAACAGGGCTTTGTGGAACGAATAATGCCAGCATACAGGGTACCTAGGTCCAACACAACATGTGTAAGCGAATGGGGCACAGTGACCGCCAACCAGACTTCAGGATAAAAAAACAAAATCTGAGCACACCAGAGGCAAATTGCCCTTAAGCAAAAAGGAAGATCAAAGATGAAATAATAAAAAATTATCCAATGATAAAATCGACCACAATTCTGGGAACAAAAATTGTACTAGTACTGTGCGATCACAATTGGGAAGAGAAAGGTTCAACGGTCGAAAAGGGAAGAAAAAACGAGAGTCAAGCCTAGAAGTATCCCGCATGAAACGGGACCAAGCGCGGGCTCGAGGACTGCTCAACACACAGACCATCCGGCCCCAAAACGAACGCCAAAATTGACTCGTGTGTCCCACACCCGGGGCACTAGATGAAGCGAGGACATGCGCAGGCACCATCCCGCTATACATCCTGGGAGGAGTCCAAACTCATGGGATATAATGCACCACTGCGACCTACCCCATGCTTGCAAGACCTCGTGGGGGCGACACCACAAAAGAAAAGGATTCCTTGGCCTTTACGGTGGTGCTAATTTTCCATGGTAGTGGAAATTGGCCCAATAAGAGGGAGGGGAAATTTAAGGATTAAAACCCACCCTCTTTCTTCTGTTATTATTTATGGTACCATTGTAACTCCCTTCTTCTTTGCCCATGGAAGGAGAGAGAGACAGAGGACGAAGGACCTAACGAACTGGCAAACGGGGTAAAATGGAAAGAAATGAAAAATGAAAATAAAATAAAAGGACGGCAACCGTGTCAGACACATGCACGCACTCGCATTCGCATTCGCACTTCACACACACACACACACACACACACACACACACACACACACACACAAACACACACACGGAGCGAGAAAAATTTCGGAAAATTCCGGTACAGTTAGCGGGGCATTCCTGCAACCACACCAAGTTTATTTTTGTTTGTGTACACATCATCTTTTTATCCGGTACAACCAGAATTTTCACTCAAAGAACTACTCCACCCCCTCACTCACGATACTCCTCCCTTAGGTGGTGTGGCCAATCACAGCCCTCCATCCTAAGGCTTCACTTCCTTTGAGAGTTTAGGACGCTGGCCATAAGACCATCCTACTCACTCACCATGACCTCCCAACCTTCGTCTCCGGCCCTGCCGCATCTCCCCCACTCTCCTTCTCCCCTGGGGGGACCCAGAAGCCCTACCAAAAGCCCAAGGATTAATTCCCCCAGCCTCCTCCCACCCGGCTCCCCTCAAGGAGTCTCCCTCAACTCGACCCTCCCCATGTTTGCCACTATTAGGCACCAAAGGGGCTGCCCCAACGCCTTAATCAACGTGGGAAACAGAATCGTGGCCAGGGGAAGCACTTTCCCCGAGGTCAGACAGGAACTAGGATGCACTAATGCATGCTACGTCCTCCTCACCGGAAACACGAAGGCCCCGACCATAGCGGCACCCCAACCGGAGCTCCCAGGGTTCAGAACCACACTCCAGAAAATCTTTGGCAATGAAGCGGTAGATGCGGCCGACACCGACGCCTTAGCTTTCCTGGCAGCAGCAGCCTCTTCATACCACCCGTCACAAGAAAGCCCTGTACCAGTATCCCAGATACCACAGGTACCCGCCTCCTCCCCACCGCTGATCGAAACGAACGAACCCATGGACCAATCCCAAGACATCGGGGTAACCGAAACGCAAGCCACACAAGATGTAGCAATGTCCCTGGGAAACGGGAAGAATACAGACCAGACCGGGCTAGGAGATAGCCAGCACGCCCACGGACCAAGCGAGGTGCCGGAGAGCTCGAACCCCCAGAATGTACCAAGACAGGTAAGATTTTCCTCCCCCTTGGCCACGACAAGGGAAATCCCGGGGACCCCAACGGGCAATATGACCAACGACCCAAGCTCCTCGCAAACCCAAAACCGCCCCATCATTCCCTCCTCCTCCTCCCTGTATGAATCGACGGAAGTCGAACTCACACCAGAAGAAAAGGAGGAACTAGGACGCCCCGTCACCGTAGGCATTATGGTGGGCTTCATCCACCAACTGGAAAAGAAATTCCAGGAGCAGATGCAGGCAATGGAGGAACGGCTTACCGGGGAAATAAGGTTTAGGGATTTGATATTCAAACCCAAACCCCCTTACCCTTCCCCTTTGGGGGGCCCTTAAAAACCCAAAAACCAAAACCCCGCCCCCCAACAAAAACCCCCCCCCCA